AGGGAGTAGAGGGACCAGCTGGTGCCATCTCTGGTGTCTGAGAGGACTGGAAACATTACTAACCGAAAGGATCTTGGACCAAGTGCCCATTGCCAAGCAAGCAACAGGCAAGAGTGAGAAAGGCTCCTCAGCAGCATTGAAACAATCTCTCAGTGCCCATCTCCAGGCAGGCTGCAAATGGGGCATCGACCTTAGCTGGAAGATGTGTAGCACCCCAGAGAAGGCTGAGCAACTCCCCAGTGTCAAAGGCCAGCCCTTAATAGGGCAAACGTAGAAGCTAGAGGTTTCAGGTTGGGTTATATGAGTGCAATTATGAGCCTTACACCCTTGGGTCCTACTGGGTTAACTTCTAGGGCTGCAAAAATAAGCCTCTGCCTTGTTGGGAGATGAGGGGTGAGTATTGCATATAGGTTTCTGGTGGGTCCAACTTCATCTTGATTGAACTGGGGAAGTTCTGGGATCATCAAGGGGATAAAGGATTCTATTCTTGAGGGACTACAGGGCCTCACTATGTATAGATGTGTATCTAGAGGGTGTTGCACTAAGGAGAGATATAATATAAACCTGGATTAGGGCATGTTACCAATAAGAGGAAAATGATACAACATTTTACACCAGGGCAAGAGCTCTGAGAACCAGTTCTAATATGCTGCTGAAGGGATTCTTGGCTACATTAACTAAAGTAAGCATTCTGCAGCTGCTATGACAGGACAAGGATGTAGGAAGCAAGACTTCAGAGAAGTTGGTATGCTACGAGCATCCACCAGGTAGGACCAGCAGACCCTCCAGCTGACTGTGTTCCTCAGGAGGCTGGGGTGGCACTCTCTTCATCAAGATTCCAATACCAGCTCTGCTTAGGGGCACCGCTGTCGCTAGGAAGCTCAGTGGCAATTGTTCTCTGAATGTAGAAGACCTGTTAGAGTACAGGAATCCTCAATAACAACAGGCATGACAGTTTCCCAGAAATCACAGAGGCAACTCTGAGAAGCAGTGATGTGTGAGACAATTCCACCATCAGGCATCAGGGTAAGTTTTATAGCAAAGTGGTTATCTATCTATCTATCTATCTATCTATCTATCTATCTATCTATCCATTATCTATTATCTATCTATGTATAGAAAAACAAAGAAATAGGAAAAAAGAGAGAGAGGGGGCGAGAGAGAGAGAGAGAAAGAGAGAGAGATTCTTCCATCTGCTGGTTCATTTCCCAAATGGCCACAATAGCCAGGTTTACTTCATGCTGAAGCCAGAAAACAGAAGCCAGGAACTCTGTCTGGGTCTCCCATGCACGTGGGAAGGATCCAAGCACTCAGGTCATCTTTCCTTAGGAGCATTGCCAGGAATCTGGATGAGAAGCAGAGCAGCCAAGACTTGTACCAAAACTCTGGTATGGGCTATGGACATTGCAAACCATGGCTTCACCTGCTGGGCCACAGTGCCAGCCCCAAAGAAGTTTATTTTGGTTGATGGTTCTGAAATTAAGGTTGAGAGGCCATATCTGGTGATGACCTTCTCACTGGCAGAGTCTTGAGGAAGTGCAGAACATCACCAGATAAGAGACAGGTAGTGTGTGTGTGTGTGCGCGCGCGCGTGTGTGTGTGTGTGTGTGTGTGTGTGTGTGTGTGTGTGCATGTGTGTGCACGCACAAGCAGACATATTTAACAGCTGCTGGTCTCTTTATTTTTCCTTCTAAAGCCATCAGTATTCAATCACTGGGGCCTCTACACGAATGACCTTATCCAGTCTTAATCACTTCCCAAAGGCTCCACTTCCAAATATCATATGGATTGAGTTTCTGCCTTTCTGTAATTTCACAATGAGGATTAAATATCAGCATGAGTTTCACAAGGGATAAATCTTGCTCAAAGCACAGCAAATGGCAACTTAATGACCACAGTGAACTGTAAGGTCATACTTGCAGCCAGGGGACCTGGCCTGACCTTGTGGAGATGGCTCACAGAACACAGTATTTCTAGGGACAAGATATATGGGCAGTCAGAAAGGGCACTGCTTAAATATAATCAAAAGAGATTAAGACAGTGTGAGTACAAGGCCAAGGTCAGACATTATACTGATGGAAATCATAATCCCTTTCCTAGTTTAAAGACCTGAACCTTTTCTCAGACCTGGAACATGTGGATTGGAAGAGAGCCTGGTGTCTGTGAAGAAGGATCCAGAACATTGCAGCCTGTGTATCCAGATGTCTTTTAGTCCTTCTCCAAACTGATTTAGGATTATTTCTTTGGCTGGCTAGAAACTGGCCAAAGAGGAACATACTGATGTTTTGAGGGATGCTGAATACAATTTTAGGTCAGTGGGGATATCCAGGTGTCCTAAGGACCTTGTTGCTTTCCTTTCCGCCTTATGGTAGGAGCATGGAATAAGTGGGGTGCTTGCTTAGGTCTGTCTCAGTGGATCCTGACCTGCCTCTCTGAGTGACAGAACCTTCACAAGAATCCTTAACCTATGGAGTCACAGCCATTGTATCAGAAAAGGTCAAGTAGAGGTCCCTGGATCTACCTTCCCCTGTCTCCCGGCCAGCCAAATGGAAAACAGAAGCAGTATCCCATCCAGAGGAAAGTGGAGTCTGCATGGCACAGACAGCACTCTGCATCTCTAGTCTCGTTCCAGGGCTACATTCACGTCATAACAGATTCCAACGGGACCTGCACCATCTGGCATTGTGTTGGCCTGCTGTATTGAAATCTCTTGTTAGTTGGATCTAATGGACAAGCAGTGCAAGTGCTTTGGATGGCCCATGGGACATGCACATCCCAGAGAGCAGAGGGACTTCACAGAAGCTCGGCAGCTTTCCAAGCGGGATAAAACTTAAGTGATCATTTTTAGAGATATGCCGAGGTATTTGTTCATTTAAATAATACTTTTTTTTTGTGCCAAGGTTAGTTAGTTATTTAACTGACACACAATAATTGTTCATTGTGGGATATGTGCTGCTTCAATGCATGCATACATTATCATTCCTTGACCAAATTGGAGTGATTTGGAGCATATCCAGCACTTCAAGCAATCAGTTCTTTGTGGTGAGATCTTTTGAGATTTCCTGTGGCCACTTTGAAATACACATGAAATCATTATTAACTGTAGTCACTCTTTTATGTAACTGAATGTCAGAAGTTATTTCTCCTAGCTAATTGCAATATCATACTTCTTTGACTAAACTCTCTTGTCCCACGCTGCCCTTGCCTTTCCCAGTAGATGATGAATATTATTTAGATCTTTGGGACATCATTTCAGATGCAGGAAAGATACTGCAAAAAAGCATACAGCCTTTTCTGTATACCCTCCACTCACCTTCACTCTATGTGAATCTTGTGTAGGCACGGAGCACACAAGAAAGGAAGATGAATAATACTAGCACAATATTATATTACCTAAAGTATAAACTTTATGTGGGAGGTGGGTAGGTCAATGGTCTAGGCAAGCCAGACATTGTCTCCAGGTGTTTGTGGCATCCTGTAACATCAAGAAAGAAGCAGAACTTTGTAAGTGAGGTTTTCTGCAAGCGGACTTATGCTCTCGATTGGTACCAGAACCAGTACCTTGGGGAAAAAGTGCAATTTCTTCAGCAGTGCTTGGAATGGACCAGGATAATGGACTTTGTGGGCTTCTGTCCCTTGAGGTTGGGGGAGCCTCTAGCTTGCGTCTGGGCATTGTGCTGTTTCTAACTGAACCTGATGGTTTTTGCAAAAGACCATTTTGGCTTCAAGAGAGGTCTCAATTAAGTACAAAGGTTTTCTCCTGCTACTTAGTCCCTAAAACTATTAGATATTATGGAAATTTCAACTTTCCACTAGAATTTTGCGATCCATGTAACAGAGAGGAAGTGCTGACCATCCATGACCAGAAAATAACGTTTCACGTGAGAGAGAGAGAGAAGCAGAACGCATAGGTAATGTCATTTGGTTCAGAAATCAGCAGGCTCTTGCATGGGAGTGTTGTTCCTGAGCCCACTTAGGAGCAGGGGTGGACAGTGCTGATGTAGGATTGGGGCTTGCGCAGACTGTGGTACAAGCAGCCCTGCCTGTGGGGCCGCTGCACCTGACAGCACGCATCGCCTGACGGTAAGGGTGTGTGTGCAGCGGAGCGGGTAGGGGAGCCTCTGGCAAGTTCTGAAAGAAGAGTCATGGTGCAGCCCTTAAGGCTTTCTGGAACGTGGCCATGCTAACTGTGTTAGTAAAAGAAAAAAAAAAAAAAAAAAGAGAGACACTGTTTTATTTCATCACAGAGAAAAATGAAGACTATAGGGTGAATATGCAGACTGGGCTGAATGTAAGGATAACGCGTCTTAAATTATCGAACAGTGTTTGCATACCAGGAAAGCTGCGAAGCTGCTAGGCGGACAGGAATCCTGGCCTGGCAGGGAACCTGCAGCTCTGCCTTCTTTGCTTTGTGGAAGCCACTCGGCTGGAATCTGCAGGATTAGGACACCTGGCATCACTTTCACAGTCACACCTCTCTTGCACCCCCTTGGATGAAGGCATCCAAGAGGTGAGCACACACAAAGCACGGATGAGGGGCTCCTTGCGTGGTGTGTGGCTTTATGAAGATTCCTATTTAAGGAGCAGGGAAAAGACAAAGGTCTTAGCAAGCGATGGAGATCTCTGAAAGGCAATGAGCTGGAAACGCGCGGCACGTGCGGGGGTGGGTTGGAGGAAACTCGCGCGCTGAGAACTGCTTAGATTTAGCCCCCAGAGCTCGCGCACGCACTCTAGGTCTGTTTTCCCAGCTGCAGTGTGAAGGGCGGGCTGCCTATTTCTTGCCACCTCACTCCACTGCTCTCCCCGGCCTCCTCTCCAGCGCGGCCCCTTTAAAGGAGCCCTTCACGCTCGGGGTCTCCCCGGGCTGCGCCACAGGGGCGGGGCGCAGGGGACCCGGGCTTCCCACGCAGCCGGGGACGCCGCTGCGTCACAGCGTCCGCAGCCAATCCGGTTCGCGCCTGCTGGGACGCATTACTAGGGCGACGGGCCGGACGCCTTCTGGCTTCGGGATGAATTAGCGGCGGGTTCTTCCCGGAGGAAGTGACCCCTTTGGAGTCCCCCAGCTCGCCCCCGCGCCCCCCTCGACGTCCCGCCGCATCCCCTATCAGTCACAGGTGGGAGGCTGGAACTGTCAGGTGGGGCTTACGGCGTGGGGAAAATGGCGCCGGCGGCCGGGGGATTCTCCAGGTTGGCGGAGGGGGTGGTTGCAACCCCGGCTCGTTTCCCCCGACCCGCTAACGGTCACTTGGCCTGGGACTTGGGGTCCTGGCGCAGGTGGCCAGGTCGCCTGCTCAGCGGAGGAGTGGGCCGCCGAGGGCCGCGCAAGCAGGGTCTGCGAGGGCCAGGGTCGTGGTCTCGGGCCGCGGAGGGCCGGCTGCCCCGGTCCAGGTTTACCTGAGGGGCGTTGGCATGGAGACCTCTTTTCCTACCTGGGCGAGTCGGGGAACCCTGCAGTCCCTCACACTGCCCGAACCCTGCCCCTGTTCCAGTCCCATGTGCAAAACCGTCCCAAGTGGCCGACACGTGCCAGGCGTGGATGCGAGGTGTTGCGGGCAGGAGCGGACGCAGCTTTGTGTGTGTGTGTGTGTCCTCCAGGTGCCAGCGTGGCTGGGGTTTGAGGTCCAACTCTTAGGCTGTGGCATAGCTTCGAAACGTGAGGCGCTTAGCTGTGGGTTTAGGAACTGCTTTCCTCCAGGTCCTCACCTGCCTCAGGTGGGTGCTTCCCCTGAAACATTCCACCTGCCCTTGAAATTCTGCTTACTGGGTCTTGATTGGAGCTCAAGAAGAATGCTGACAATAAAGCTAGTGAAGGTATTACCCGGACGAACTGTCTGCCCTTTCCCTTCAGTGCCAAAACTTGGGTAGAGAAACATCAGGTTATGAACTGTGAGGGCACTTCACGAAGTTCGTGGAACACGGAATCCAGGGTTTACCTATCTTGCAGAACGTTTAGCATTGTGTGTTTTTCGTAATACACATTTCTCATGAATTTTAAGAGTCCTTGGATGCCTGGATGGCACATTTCGTTTGTACTAGAGTGGACTTTCAAGTCCATTTCCATGAAGTTTTTGAAGTTCCCTTGTATAATTAGTTGAGTTTTTCTTTTTCTATACTGCCTTGATGAAAGTTTTTTTCCCCGCACCCCAAAACTTGTATTTCTGGAGAGTCAGTAAAAGCCAGTTCTTTGCTGTGTAAGACTTTCTTTTTAGCTCCTGCAGTCCTTGTACGTTGGTGTGAGAGCCAAGCATGCTGTTGGTGATTTTTAGTGGTGTGTCATTCCGTACCTGAGGAAGCCCCACAGCGCTTTCTGTTGTGGTGGTGAAGCCAGTGTCTGTGGAGTGCCCACCGTGCCACTCTCCTGCTTTTAAGCCTACTAAATGCTGTGGTTCCACCTGGTCTTTAGGCTGCTGTTGCCTGCATCTGGAGCCAATCTGAGGACAACCCAAAGCGGTCTGTTGCAGACTAGATCTGTGGAAGTTTGGTTGGTTTAACCTGGCTTTGAGCTTTTGTGTGGTTTGTAAGAGGCAGCAGTCTTGTCCAGACAACCTCACTGCCCTGTTGTGAGGGGCACATGGACAGGATATGGAAAGAGGTTTTAACAAGTTGAAGGTGCTGTGACAGTGGTTAGTGTTTATCACTGCAGATTGTGCAGTGCGCGGGTACCAATGGCTGACCTCTGTGTGATAACTCAGTCACCCGGCAGCACTGTCAGGTGCATGCTTTTCATCCTCCTGTTGTAGATGATGAAATTGATGCAGCATTGGTGTTTGTCCGAAGTCACACTGCTTGCATTGTAACTCTAGCCTGTGGTCGTTAGCATCCTGTGTGCCAACTTCCTGTACTGCACAGATGTGTTTGTGTTAGATTTTTTAAGGGAGTAGTTTGGTTTGTGATTTTGAAGTTGTACGCACAGTGACTGTGACTCACGTGTTGTGCCTGATTAGTGATTGGTGTGATGGCTGGAATCACCCTGAGTGGGGGGCTCACCCTCCTTTGGTGTTGGTTACTTACAGATGTGACAGTTGTGTGACTCACTTCTGCCAGGAAGCTTAAGTCTCGAATTAGGATTTTAGTTCTTATTAAATCCTTTAAAACGGCGGTCTACTTTTAAAAGAAAACTTGTTTTAGCTAGGTTCTTTGCTTTAGTGTGCTTGCACTGCTTTTTTTTTTTTTTTTCCCAGTCTTTAGAGAAACATAGCACAAGTTAGGTGGCTGGGACATTCACTGGACCTTTCTGGAATAACACTGCCAAGTCCTTGGGATATAAAAATTAATGTCTGATTTTGTCCTGGAGTAAGTCAAGGAGAAGCCCAAGTTCAGAAGTTTGTAGATGAGTGAATGAGACAAATAAATGATTACTACTATGGGATAAAGATTCAAATCCAGCTCTGGGCACAGAGGGCTGTGCTTCTGCTCAGGGGGCCTGGCGGGGAGCGGGGGAAGCGGTGGAAAGCCTGCGGGAGTCGGGTCACAGGTGTCCGGGAGCCAGGCCAGCCTGTGGGAGGAGCGGCTGGGAGAGAAGCCAGCCAAGCAGGGCCCACGCTGTGGGCTTCATCCTGAGAGTACTGGACGTTCAACAGGTGTCAGTGAGCTGAATAACGTGATCGACTCCTGTTCAGGAGAGGTGGCTTTGGTGACGGGGTAAAAGGCAAGAAGTGTAAGGAGGAGACCGGTTAAGGAGAGTTTTCGTATTCCACATCAGAGATGGCATAAGACCTGGATCAGATTTCTGGAGCAGAGCGGAGTTCAGATTTCCCAACACATTGTGAAAGCAGAGTGTGAGGGCAGTTGGGTGTGAAGAATGGCAGGGCTGGGGAGGGAAGCATGGGCCCAGTGGAGAAGAGGTTTGCTTGTTAACTGTATGGTTGGAAGTTGGGAAGATACTGTGAAATAACTTGGGCAGGCAGTTAATTTGTGACGTTTTAAATAAGGTGAGAAGAATTATCTAAGTTACGTTGGGGGAAAATGCCAGGATAATAGAGATTAGACGTTTTAATGCTAGATTTTTAATGTTTAGAAGTTATTGTAGTGCATAAAAATAGCCACTGATAAATTCTCTAGCTGTAAAACTGATCACTAGGATATGCATAACTTCTGCTTGCCCAGCACCTGCCACTGTAACATGAAAGAGTGTGAAATGACTGCAAGGTCAAGGTGCAAGTCTTGCACAAAAGTTGCAAGATTTTTGAATCAGAATGCGGTGGAGAATCAGTCAAGCCAAAAACAGAGATGAAAGAACTCATGTGTGGAGTAGCAGACATTTGTTATAAAGACTTGGAAAGCACTGACCATAAAAATCGTAGTTTTTTTTCGGACTTCATTAAAATTGAGAGCTTTTCTCCATATAGAGTTGCCATTATGATAATGAAATGCCAAGCACAGACTGGAAGAAGATATTTTCAATTCGTATGTCTGATCAAGAAACCAGAATGTGTGTATAAAATCAGTAAAAAAAAAAATAATTCAATTAGAAAATACATGAAGTCTTGAACAGGCGCTTTCTCATGGAGGATCTTAGATGGGTCAGTATGCTTCTCAGTAGTCAACAGGGAGATAGGAACTAAGATGATAGATACTACTGTTACTACTGTATCTTTTTTTAAAGATTTATGTATTTTATTATTGGAAAGTCAGATTTACAGAGAGAAGGAGATACAGAGAGAAAGACTTCCTATCTGCTGGTTCACTCCCCAAGTGGCCACAATGGCCGGAGATGAGCTGATCCAAAGCCAGGAGTCAGGAGCCTCTCCCACGTGGGTGCAGGGTCCCAAGGCTTTGAGCAGTCCTCTGCTGCTTTCCCAAGCCACAGGCAGGGAGCTGGATGGGAAGTGGAGCTGCCGGGATTAGAACCGGCACCGATAAGGGATTCCAGTGCATGCATGGCGAGGACTGTAGCCACTAGGCTACCGCACCATTTCCAGTTTCTATCTTTTTAACTGTGATGGCTTCATGCCTGTTTTAATCTAGTTTATACTGTTCTTAACATGGCTTTAGTATAAGGGGATGAGTATTTAAAGTATGCTTTGCATTACAGTGATGTCCAGAGTGTATTAACATCAGTGTTGAATATTAACTTCTGGAAACTGTTTAGGGTGAGTCTGTCAGTGATGTGGGAGTTTGAAATGGGATGTCTGACATTTTCCCCTTTTATGTGTTACCATGATTGGATTGTTACTCTTAATTTTTTTCCTTCTGGAATTCACTAAAAATGTGTAACAGGTTTATTGCTTATATGTTCAGCACACTGAAACTGGTATCTTGTGATGTGGTGTTCCAACTGGAGTTTGAGGATTCCTGGGATAAGGTCCTTATTAATGTGAATGACTGCAGATTTGAACTGAGGTGAATTTCAACATGGCTTTTCATTAATAATGACTGATTAAAGGTAGAATTGCCCTTTGATCTCTAAGGATGGGAGCAGTCATCTAGAGTAGTCCAGGTATTTGCAAACAGACCTTATTTGCCAGCTTTATTTGTGGTAGTCATAAAGCCAGTAAAATTCAGTTTCTCTCACTTACTAGGAAGAAATAAATTAGGAGTCAGAGTTAGTCAAGATAGATGGAGCCTTGCCTTTCTGGAGCTGGTGTGACAGACTTCTTGCTTTTGGGTGAGCTGATCTTAAGCAACCAGAGTTATGCTGAATGTATATGAACACAGCTACGTTCATTTCCCTTTTGATTTTTGGCGTCAAGAAAATTGAAGGGTTCTACTATTTTCAGTTGTGAACTCTAAGAGCTTATGTATTTTTGTCTTAGGCAGCTGTGCTTCAAACTTCTCAAGGACCTTTTCCATATGTATTTTCATTAGCTTTTTTACAACATTTCTGGAAGATGGATAGGTAGTGATGTTAGCTTCCAGGGCTCCCATAAGAAATCACCACAAGTGGGGCAGGAGTGTGCGAGGCCATAGCCTAGGTATAGTCCCACGGCGCGTCCCTGCGTCTGCAGGACTCTTCCCTAGCCTGGGTGTGTCTTTGGGCATTGTAATGAGCTGGAAGGCACCTGTCCGCTTGATTTGGGCTGTGCACGTGCCAGTCCTAATGTTGGATGTAGCTGGTTCTAATAGGACCCTCTTAAAAATGCAGTTTAGCGGGTTTTAGTAAAGACAGATATTA